AATTCTGCTGTTTCCAAGATCAGACAGGATCTGGGGTCTTTTCAGCACAGAAAGAAGGGAGCCCCCGGTGGCGCAATGGGTTAAACCCTTGTGCCAATAGGACTACTGACCAAAAGGTCGGCAGTTTGAATCCGTGAAGCGGGGTGAGCTCCTGTCTGTCAGCTCCAGCTTCCCATGCAGAGATATGAGAGAAGCCTCCCACAGGATGGTAAAACATCTGGGCATCCCCTGGTCAGCGTCCTTGCAGACTGACAATTATCTAACACCAGTTGCTCCTGACACACAAGAAAAGGACAGAAAGATGTACATTGGGGTAAGCCTTCATAGGATGGCCGTGATATTGTGCAAATCAGAACAATCAGGATGACAAATAACATTCCAGTAGTGCAGCATGGCTTCTTCTTCTTTTCTTTTCTTTCTCTCTCTCTCTCTCTCTCTCTCTCTCTCTCTCTCTCTCTCTTTCTTTCTTTCTTTCTTTCTTTCTTTCGCTCTCTCTTCACCCCCTCCCATGCTCTTCCAAGAAATTGGGTTATTATAAATGTTTGAAGTCTTTTCCTAGAAACTTAAAACACAAGTTCTGTCCCACAATCGCGGCCAATACTCCCATTCACAGAAAGCCAGTGTTCAGTTTTCAGTTAACAGTCTCTCAGGTTTGGGGGGATTTCTTGAGACATCCAGGACTATTAAAGCCTACAAAATTGGTGCAAATTACATGTTTACACAATGCTTTAACAATCCTTAGATTAGGATCAGGAATATATCGATACTTGTAGAATGCAAGCTCTTTACCAATATCTAATAGATTGTGTGCAGATATAGATGTATGAAAATAGGACGAATTAAATAGACTTCTCTGCCTGTTGTTCTCCACAATAGTCCTTCCCACTCCTCTGACAATATTATCCAGATAATTAGGAAAAACTACTGTATTTAATACAGTGGTTCCCAATCTTTTTTTGACCAGGGACCACTTTGACCAGGGACCACTCTCCAACATTAATACCAAAAGGATTACAAATCAGGTTTGGGTCAACTTTAGATTCAGTTTGGTTATTTGGGGTGCTGATTCAGAAAATTGCATTGGATAGACCACATCAGCTCTAGTTTCGGATACAGAACATATGCCATCCAGGAGTCACCATCTGCTCACCCACAGAAAACTATATATAATAAGCCTCAGCACTATATGGAACACCCTGCCACCTACCTCTGTCTTTAGAAGGAAAATCAAGAAATGGTTATGGGCCAAGAGCTTCCAAGCCAAAGACCAAAATACAGCAATGAATAGACCAGTGGTTTGGATTGTATTTCAGGATGTGCTTAATTAATTTTGTAATGGTGTTTTATTTTTAAATATTTGATGGTACTGTGGGTATGAGTAGCAGTGATGATGCGTTCGATAGGGCCCATGAGTACCCTTTGTAGGGAGAAGGGCAGGGATAAATATAGGAACAACAAATATAGTAATCTAGAGCCAATACCTACTGTAGTTTTAACCAATAGGTGAGAACCATGATAATAAGCATGAAGGGTTGCAGAGAATCGAGAGAAAATCCGAAAGCGTTTTCCGGGTATATAGTTATCTCATACTAATATAAAAGGCAGTGTTCGGGACCAAGGAAAGTGCATCAAGACAAAGTCACTTGGTCGCGGGCGACGACTGCCTACTGATCTAGACCAGTTACGCGAAGCATATAGCTGCATGGCTATAAGTTCATAACAGGAGTTGCAAATCAAGGAAAAGATTCATGAGACAACCATTAGCGTACTTTACCCCAGCACAGCAAAAGATCAATCTGGTAGCTAAACAAGGAAATCCCAAATGGATGCGTCCCCCACGAGGGTTTCCTCCGGGGCAAACCAAGAATGGGCCATTGGAAGTCCCTGAAAAGACTCAGAAGTGGAGTTGGCAGATCAAAAGACAACCTGGCAAAATGGCACTACTAGAAGAATCCTCCACCTGGTGTGACTGTGGAGCAGAACAAACAACTCTGCACCTGTATGCTTGTCCACAATGCCCTACCTCATGTACAGAGGCTGAATTGTTTAAAGCTACAGACAATGTGGTCGCTCTTGCCCGGTTTTGGTCAAAAATTATTTCGTGACTTGTGCTCCTTCTATTTTTTTTATCGGTGTTGTACTTATTTATGCAACGTTTTTGATGTGAAATATATAAAACCATTTATTCCGCTCAATGAAACATTTCGCTTAAATGATCTTTCCTGATAGCAGAAGGAAAAAACAACAAACGCATTTAACGTTTTAAAATCAAAATGATGTTTTATCATTTTAATAAATATATATCAAGAAAAAAACTCACTTTACTACAACACCACCTTAGTATACAAGTACCTAAATAGCTAAGCTTAACATATCAGATGTTTGACATATACTGGAAAAAGAACAGATTTTTTTCCTTTTCTCAACTGAATATAAGACAAGAAAAACCAGCTTTAAAAAAAATTGGTCCATGTGGACAAATGACTAAATGATCCTACTCATACACTGTATGAATGAGATCTATATTTAATATTGATAGCAATAATAAAAATGTTTTTGTCTTGGAGAAATAAGGTAGGATAACATTTTTTAAGTTGATGCATTTAGCATGAATCAACTTTGCAAATATCTGAACACTGGTAGAGTTAAATTTTCCTATGTTCTCATCGGAAATTCTCTGTGTTCCTCATACAAGAATGGGCATGATAATTTCATTTAATTCTATCTGGGGGCAAGTGCATTTAAAAAAATAACAACTGAATGTATTAAATACTGCTATACAATCCAATATATATATGGTTTTAATCCAATCATTAATCCTAATAAGAGTAGAGCCATTGAACCAATTTGGTTAACCAATGTGTTGATTCACCATTCAGCAACCGAGTCAGTGGGTCTATTCTACCATCATCATTGGTATGTGTATATGCCTTCAGGTTGTCTGTTGACTTATGGTGATCCCATGAATTTCATAGTTTTCTTAGGCAATGAATCCTTAGAGGTGGTTTTGCCAGTTTCTTTCTCTGAAATATAGTCTGCAGCACTTGGCATTCATTATCAGCCTCCCATCCAATACTAGGGCTTAGTTTCCAAGATCAGAATGGATCTGGTGCTTTTATAGTATTTAAGTCAAACCAACAATATACCAGTCAAATATTCTTTTATGGAAACCATTTAAGAATAATGCAGTAGGTGGACTGGATTGTTGACATGTACTGTGAAGTTATTCCTGATCAAGGACCCGGCTCCAAATAAGTGGCTTGTAATGTCTTCAACCTAACACTTGGCACAAGGGTGCCACATAAATGGCACTGGACTTATCTTGGCCATGGGGTCCTTGTCCATATTACGAAGACCAGGAATTTTAGGTTCCTTTAACATAGCCTATACATAGAATCATATGAGTCAGGAGAGTCCTTGTAGGCCATCCCTGTACGCTGCCGCTCTGGTGAGCAACCTGGCTGTTGCCTGTTGGACCAACCGAATCTTCCAACCAGTCTTCAAAGGTAACCCCATGTAGAGCGTGTTGTAGTAATCCATACAGGATGTAATCAATTTCAACATTCACACTTGCCTCAAGCAGACAAGAGTTCTTTCTTCCACCCTGGAAATTCCATAGATATATAAACCTCATTTGGCTAGTTTCCAACATACCCCTCCACCTCTGAGGATGTCTGCCATAGATGTGGGTGAAACATCAGGAGAGAATTCTTATGGAACATGGCCATACAACATGGAAAACTCACAGCAAACCATTGATTGGGGGATTAGGGGGACTGTGGTCCAAAGTTTTCCAAATCCCACATTTGTTTCCCAAATGGTTTATTAAGTCATTCAGCCTGGCAGACCAAAATCTCTGCCGTTTCAATGTGGCAAACATAATTCTGTGTTATCCTCCTACAGTTATCAGTAGGATGTAGTAGTGTGGAACATTAACGAGATCTTGCTCCAAATGTCATTTTAACATGAGAACATCTGAAATTGATCAAAATGTGTGTCTAACAATGGAAAGTTATTTCCCTGTTTCTCCAAGATAATCTTTTGAAGAAGAAAAAGGAGATTAAAACCCTTACATTCATTTCAGATAAAAATCTTGTTATCACCACGTTGTGCTTTTTTTCCCAGAATAAAAAACCCTAACATTATAGGAAACCCCAGTACATGCTCTTTACAACTTTAAAGAGAGAAAATGATGTGAAACAGAGTAAAGTATAAAGCATGCCACTGGTTCATGAACTTCATTATACCAGAAACAAAAAGGAAAAAATCACAGCAACAGACAGTTGCCATAGAAATGTTCAAGCAGCTAATGCTTGTTTACAAGAGAACTCTGTTTTTCCTTTCTTTCTTCAATCCCTTTCTAAGGACTGCAAACCAAAAAAAGCAATTGAGCAAACAAGAAGAATAGATGCATTTGAATTGGAACTCAAATTCTCTATTTCAAAGGATACAGGTTTCTAATAATATTTGATCCACCCTGTTATTATTTTTTTTCCTGTTTAGGTTACATCCCTGCTGTAGCTGTTTTTGTTTTGTTTTGCTTTTTTAACTTAATTTTCTCCCTGGGAAAATTAAGATTAAAAAGTAAGGCACCAAAGAAATTCTGCCCTTTATAGCAATAGACCACCATAAGGCTTTTTTGCTCTTGCCGCTTACATGAAAACTGTACATGTGCTGGTATTGTACATATTATTTCTGATTATGTTACCGCATCCTATTGGTTAAACCAGACACTCTGAAATGTTGTCAATAATAGATCCTGGTGTGGGTTTACACCTCTTCAACTCTATGCAGTCTTTGCCAAAGCCGTTATCATTGGGCAAAACGTATACCTCCTCTTTGCTGGTAATAATTTGCCTACCAAATAGATAATTGATAAGCATACATTGATATAGGAGATTCTTCTTAAATCATGTCAAACTCTCTAGGGCAAACTTCAGAAGGGTTACATCTTCCCCATCTGGCTTATTGTTTCTTTCAGCAATGAAAGCTAAAATATATTTCTATATCACAATTCAACTGTGCTCTTTAATTCCATATATTTATAAATAGTTCCGTGATGCAGACCGTACATACGCTTCAATGCAATCTGCTCCCCAGTCATTAAAACGATCCGTGAAGCTTATGACATGATTGTATTGGCTGTATAAAAGCATGAGGAGATCCATCCAGAATGACATTTAGTTTGAGAAATTCAACATGCGGTGTGTTCTTCGGAACGGCAATTACATGGAAGATGGTTCAAATTTTGCTTCCTTTACTGCAACATATTTTGCCACTTGGCAAGTATTCCCTTTTCCGTAAGGATTTCTTCCATGATTCATTCGCGTTGCTCTTGTCACCATGCCCCGTCTCAAAATAATCATAATATTTACTTTTACATTCAATAGCATGGTCGCTTTTCATAGGTTCCCAGTCTGCAGCATGGTCTCGCTCCATTTCATGGATTCCTTTCTCACTGCCTAACACTGTCTTATCCCGATGCCCATGTGGCCCGGCATTAGTAATGAAAATCTCATTGGCATTTATCTGATCATCATTCCTGTAGATAGGGGGACTGCTGACACCATATTCCACCTGTTGGGAACAACCTGGCAAAGATATGGAGGAAGAGGAGGAGGAGGAAGATGAAGCAGAGGAGGAAGAAGAGGGGCTCCCTGGTGCAGAATTAGTAGATAATGGTAAACTTAAATAGTGGCTGCCACATTCTTGATAAAAACAGCAGGTATGGACCTTTTCACATTCCTCCCGTGCCATCCGAAGGCGTTTCCTATATGGACAGTCATGGGACACGAACCACTCTTGGGCTGAAGCCGTACCGAAGGAGCAAGCAGGGAAACACCAATTGTTTTGCATGATGATTTCTCCATGAATCCTCTTCATCAAATTATTTATGAGGACAGACCTCCTTAGGTAGACCTCAGGGTCATCAATGTACTTCAGCTTTTCCAATGACATGTAAAGGATATGAGCCCGCTCCTCAAAAACAGATACTGTCTGGAGAAGAAGAAAAAAACAGGGAGGTAAAAAAAGCAGAGATTAATGCAAGAAAAGTGTGATAACCTAATCTGATCTGTCAGGCCATCATTTTGCACTTGTAAGATGCATTGCAATTATATTTACATTCGCTAAATCTTTTCTAATTTTGCATCTATATTAAGAATTAGCATATGGAGTTCTTATGCAAATCCATATTGGGTTGCTGTGAGTTTTCCAGGCTATATGGCCGTGTTCCAGAAGCATTATCTCCTGATGTTTTGCCCACATCTATGGCAGGCATCCTCAGAGGTTGTGAGGTCTGTTAGAAATCAGGACAGTAAATAAAGAACCACAGAAAACAAGGGAATTCCAGACAGGAAACAATTTGGGTCAGCTAACACCTCCCAATAAAGGATTCCTCCAGGCAGGAAGCAGACAGGCTTTGAAGTTGCAAGGCTAGTCAATGCTAATCAAGATGGCCAATTACAACATTCACATTTGCCTCAAATAGACAAGAGTTCTTTCTCTCACCCTGGACATTATTCCACAGATATAAATCCCACTTTCTTAGTTTCCAAGAGACCTCTCAACCTCTGAGGATGCCTGTCATAGATGTGGGCAAAACATCAGGAGGTAATGCTTTTGAAACATGGCCATACAGCCCAGAAAACTCACAGCAACCCAGTGATTCTGGCCACAAAAGCCTTCGACAACATATATCCATATTATCCTTTGTTTTCTTTTGCAGTGATGCATGTCCTTTTTCTGATACTTTGTAAGTGGCCCTATCCATTTATCAATAAAAAGAAAAGAAATCCCATTATTCTAAGTTGTTGTTCTAAGTTATTCATTCTCTGTGTATTTAGCGGCTCTTCATAATGTGAAGTCCTAAATCCTAGTGCTTATCTTATGTAGAAATCCAGCACTGCGCCAGTTTTGATGCTGTAGTTTATCCTCAAGTCTCTTTTTCTGTGCACAATGGACAATTGAGATTGCTAGACAAATAAACCATTCTACCAAAGTGGAAAAAGGCAATGGCCACATGCAATTCTCAGTTTAGTTCAGGATTATCCTTCATCCTGAGATTTTAGGACCAAAATTTGATGAGTTCTGGAGATGTTTTGAGAAGTTGGACATTTTGAATCAATAGGCATGATACACTGCCTACATCATTAAGTATGATGCCATCAACATCATCGATGATTGTACAGAGTCATGGGTACACCACTGAAAACAAAAACACCAAGTCAAACCATCTTTTAGGAACAGGGCTCTTTCCCTGAGATTTATTCTCCTTCCCCTGAGGACATAAGAAGAAAGTCTCAGGCCTGAGATCTTGCAACACTACTTCTCACTGCAACCACCTTCAATGCTGTTCTGAGGAACCCCTCTGCACTTTCCCCACTTTCTGAAGATATGAGATCACTCTCAAGCATCTGAATCTATGTCCACTCTTGTTTTGCTCTTTGGGTAAAATGAGGGCAGAAGCACCTCCAGAAAACACTAAATGATGTCACTGCATTCTTTATTCATCAGGTGGATGCTATTTGACCAATAGCATCTCCTCTTAACACTGTGGTCAGCGGAAGTATTATTATTATTATTATTATTATTATTATTATTATTATTATTATTATTATTACTAAAAGTAGTCCTGCTCTCGGTCCTACCCACATCTCAAGCATGGTTAATGGGAATGAGAGAGAGGGCCTTCTCCATGATCGCTGCCCCACTTCTGGAATTCTCTCCTTAAAGGAATAAGATGCCCCCTCCCTCCTCTCTTTCCAAAATGAGGATGAGGATTATTTATTTATTTATTTGGTACACTTATATACCGCTAACTTCTCAGCCTGGATCGGCGACTCAGTTGCGGTTTACAGCATTTAAAATCAATCTCCAGTTTAAAAACATATACAAAATACAATTACAAATTACAATAGCAAATTATTGGGCCACCAATAATAATCCCATATGTCTCAAGTTGAATCACAGTCCACAATTCGTTGTCCATATATCTGTCCAAGGTCACCTAGATTCGAATCGGTTTCCACAGATTAGCCGAAGGCTTGTTTGAATAACCATGTTTTAAGTTTCTTCCTAAATGCCATCAGCGAAGAGGCTGATCGTATCTCTATAGGGAGGGCGTTCCAAAGCCGGGGGGCCACCACAGAGAAGGCCCTATCTCTCGTTCCCGCCAGCCGCACTTCTGAAGCTGGAGGGATAGAGAGAAGAGACTCTCCGGAAGATCTTAGGGTCCTGGTGGGCTGATAGGCTGAGATACGTTCGGATAGATAAGTTGGGCCAGAACCGTTTAGACAATGAGAGACCACTACCAGACCTCTGGTTGAGAACTACTATTGTATTCGGGCTCTGTCAGTCCATGTTTATTTATTATTATTTATTTACTGTATTTATACCACTTTTCTCACCCCTGGGGAAGGGACTCAAAGTGATTTACAACAAAGAATGGCAAAATTCAATGCCTTACATACATAAAAACCAAATCACAAATCTAAACAAGACATATAACTATGCATAAATTCAGTAAGACAATTAACCCTAAGAGAAGAGAACATTTAAACATGAAAACATATAAATTAAAAACACCTAATAAAAACATTAAAATCACATGATCCAAACTCGTAGACCAGGCCATTCCCAATGTTGATTGCACATATTCCATATTTATTTCTTGTACTGCATTACTTTACTAGTCAAAATCTTGGTTGCATAACCATGTCTTTGCTCTCTTTCTAAAGGCCAGGAAGGGCAGGGGGTGATCTAACCTCACTGAGGAGAGTGTTCCAGAGTCAAGAAGCCACCAGTGAGAAGGCCCTGTCTCTCATCCCCACCAAAACACACTTGTGAAGCAGGTGGGACCAAGAGCAGGACCTCCCCAGAAGATCTTAACCTCCATGATAGTTCATAGAAGGAGATACGTTCGGACAGGTAAGCTGGGCCAGAACCATTTAGGGCTTTATAGTCTAAAGCCAGCACTTTGAATTGTGCTCGGGAGCAGACTGGCAGCCCAGTTATCATCACTGGCCAGAGAATTAACCCACATAGCTTTGTCAACTTTTGTTGGCTTCTGTAACTCAATGTGGATGTTTTATGTGCAGGTTTTATGTAATTATATAATTTTTGATTTATTCCATTTTATTTAATTTATAGATGTTAGGTTCTAATTTTTTTTTCATATGTGGGGTTATTTTGGATTATTGTGTCAGTACTTATTGTTTTACTGAGGCGTTAAATGTTTTCCTTTTTGTATGTTGGAATCTGCCCTGAGTCCCTCTGGGGAAATGCAGCAGATTATAAATAAAGTATTATTATTATTATTATTATTATTATTATAATATTTGGGGGGAAGAAAAGAAATGTGTGCAGAAAATTTTCTCAAATTCAGAGGACTTAGTGACAAAATTGGCATTGGCACAACCCTTTCTTCATCTTTCAGCCAGTAAGCAAAAGCATAAGCAAATGTTGCATGAGAAGGAGAAACATTCCTCTTTATGTCCTGTTTTTCTTCTACTCTTCTCTCTTGTGGCCAAATAAATTTGACAGAGAGGAAAAATCTTTCCTATGAAGACTTCAGGGAAATTTTCCAGTTCTCCATAAATATACATCTTTCAAACTACTCCCTTCATTTCAGTAAATTCCCTCCTCTGCGTATTTCTGACACATTCCTCATTCCTTGAAAACGATTACCAGGAATTGTGTTAATCTCATTTTGTAATAGAATCTGTTATTAATTATGCTATCTATTTTTTAAAAACCCTACAGAAATAAACATATAGAGTACCACACCTTATTGGGTGTCCTGTTTGTTTTGTTTTTAAAAAATACATGAAGCATATATTTCAATATTTATTTATTTACTCCATTTGTATACCGCATATAAGACATTCATTGTATAGATTCATTTTCAAAGCAATTAAAAAGAAATATAATCATTCACTCCAATGTTTCTGGTTCAATCGCAGTCATTGTTGCGTGTAACTGGAAACCAATAAGTATCTGGCAGACTGCTCTGTGCTTTCTGTGAAACTATCTCCTGGTCTCTGTCCAGTTCCCAGTGGAAAACTATCTACTCTACAAAAATCACCATCTCATTTGGCAATCTTATTTAGCAAAAAGGTCATGATACACATGAACCATAGAGTCTGACATTCCCCTGGGATTCAGGCTTGGTTTTCCAGATGTCCAGGCAATATGGCCATCTTGCAAAACATGAATACATTCATGTATGGTCGGTTGGTATTATTACAGAATGGAATGAAAATCACAGCTGTAAAGACTGTTTAGCTATTACCCAGTGTACTAACGGTGCTACAGGAGAAAAAGAAAGAAAGAGCCTTTCCCCAGCACCCTCCAAGTATTGTGGACTACAGCACTGTCTCTAACCAATATTATGTTGGCTGGACTGAATGGGTTGTAGTTCAAAGCATCTTTTTTTTCATGTCAGGAGCAACTTGAGAAACTGCAAGTTGCTTCTGGTGTGAGAGAATTGGCCGTCTGCAAGGACGTTGTCCAGGGGATGCCCAGATGTTTGATGTTTACCATCCTTATGGGAGGCTTCTCTCATGTCCCCACATGGGGAGCTGGAGCTGACAGAGGGAGCTCATCCGCACTCTCCCCGGATTCGAACCTGCGACCTGTCGGTCTTCAGTCCTGCCAGCACAAGGGTTTAACCCATTGCGCCACCGGGGACTCCATTCAAAGCATCTGAAGAAGGCCTTATCACACTAGGGCCCTTCCACACAGACCTATATCTCAGAATATCAGGGCAGGAAATCCCATAATATCGGCATTGAACTGGGTTATCTGAGTCACACTCAGATAATTTGGGGTTTTCCGCCTTGATATTCTGGAAAATAGGGCTATGTAGAAGGGCCCCAAGATAACCCATTTTGAAGCAGATATTGTGCGATTTTCTGCCTTGATATTCTGGGATATATGGCTATGTGAAAGGGCCCTAGATCTTAAAAAGTAGGCAAAGAGTATAGCATCCCATCTGAAATCCTGTGACTGCCTCCTGCAGAATTCTGGGGCTTATAGTTTAGCAAAGGAGTTTTTAAATGCTCAACCAGAGAGGTCCTGGGTCTCACTACAAGTGCCAGAATTCTGTAGGAGGCAGTCACCGGATTTCAGATGGGATACTACTATACTCTTTGCCTACTCTTTAAGATATAGTGTGATGCTGGTTGAGACAAGATGGAGAGAATGAGGAATAAAATAGACAAGGGACACAATGCCTGACAAAGGGATGGGTGCAGAACATGGCAGCTCCTCCCAGTCGCCACAAGGCAGCATTCTCCATTAACTTTCCTGCTGGCATGAAAGATCCAACTGGTGCTGGCAATAGTCAATGTCTGCGTATAGGTGTGTTGCTCTCTCATGGACTGGCAGGTCCCCATCACCAGGGTGTTGTGGTCCAGATTTTTTTTTCACTATGTTTGGAAGATTGGTTACTTAAACCTGGGCAAGAGCAAGCCTGGGCAGTTCACGTTAAGCCAGTGGTTCTCAACCTTCCTAATGCCACGACCCCTTAATACAGTTCCTCATGTTGTGGTGACCCTCAACCATAACATTATTTTCGTTGTTACTTCATAACTGTAATTTTGCTACTGTTATAAATCATAATGTAAATATCTGATACGCAGGATGTATTTTCATTCATTGGACCAAATTTGGCACAAATACCCGATACGCCCAAATCTGAATACTGGTGGGGTGGGGGGGGGGGGGTTGATTTTGTCATTTGGGAGTTGTAGTTGCTGGAATTTATAGGGTTCAACTATAGTTCAACTACAATCAAAGAGCATTCTGAACTCCACCAATGATGGACTTGAACCAAACTTGGCACACAGACCATCAGAAAATACTGGAAGGGCTTGGTGGGCATTGATCTTGAGTTTTGGAGTTGTAGTTCACCTACATCCAGCCTTCTCTGCCAAAGGGATTCCTAAGACCATCAGAAATATGTTTCCTTGTAGTCTTTGCAATCCCTCTGACACCTCCTTGCAACCCCCCCCCCCCCCCGGGTCCTGACCCCCAGGTTGAGAAATGCTGCCTGTCCTAACCACACACACCCTCCCTTTGTCTTTTGGAAAGTGTGTTTATCATTCTATTTTGTCACAATTTCAGGGGGAGTTGGCATGGGCCTTGGATCCAAAATTAGGTGACTGGTGTACAGGCACAGGTTATTTAAAGGGGGACTCAGGATGCGTGGTTTGGAGTCAGTCTGGCTCAGCAATGGTCAGAAGTTTTCCATACTATATGTGTGAGAGAGCATAGCTGGTATCTCAGGTCATCCCTAGGGGATCTGAGAGCTCACCTGTCAAAAGGCACATGGGTCAGTCCTTGAATACAGCTGTAATTAAATAAAGTTGTGGCCTTTTTTTTGAGCTATGCCTTTGTTTTGTCTTTGTATTTTGCAGGCGAAATAGATGTCTCACCTGATTGTGCAATCTGTATATCTATACAATAGTCATTTAAGCAACAACCACAGTAACAGAACACTGTTGCTAATACAGAGGCCTACTATGATGCAGGGAGCTGGAAGTTTAATTTTCTGCAATATGACAAAAATTGCAATTTCAACTCTTTTTTGTGCATTACAATGAGCCATTCTGAAAATCTGCTTTTAGAGAGCTAAGCCACATAGGGCTTTGTTTCATTTTTTGTTAGATCTCTTTTAAATTAGAAATTTCATGCCGTGGAGAAATGTATTTCTACACATTCCTATTTTACCTGGAGATTTTGATAGATGTTGCAAGGATCACCAAGGGCCTGTTTCTATATTGGCATCACTGTTCTTAGCCTGCTTTTATCTGTTCTGGTGCTCCATGCAAAACCAATAGGGTTCATGTCACCCAGCACAGTAATGTATGGTGTCATCCCATGCACCTCCTCCCATACCAGACGAGACCAAAAAAAGTCAATAGGATTTTGGCCTGCATAAATAGGCATCTAGTGTCTAGATCCAGTAAAGTCATGCTACCCCTCTATTCTGCCTTGTTCAGACCACACCTGGAATACTGTGTCCAATTCTGGGCACTGCAATTGAAGGGAGATATTGACTAGCTGGAATGTGTCCAGAAGAGGGTGACTAAAATGATCAAGGTTCTGGAGAACAAGCCCTATGAGGAGCAACTTAAAGAGCTGGGTATGTTTAGCCTGCAGAAGAGAAGGCTGAGAGGAGACATGATGAGGGCCATGTGTAAATATGTGAGGGGAAGTCATAGGGAGGAGGGAGGAGGCTTGTTTTCTGCTTCCCTGGAGACTAAGACACAAAACAGTGGCTTCAAACTACAGTAAAGGAGATTCCACCTGAACATGAGGAAGAACTTCCTAACTGTGAGAGCTGTTCAGCAGTGGAACTCTCTGCCCTGGAGTGTGGTAGATTCCTGTTGGGTTTGTTTATAGTCTCCATTTTTGTTTTTTGGTATTTTAATTACAATATTGGATTGTTGTAGGGTTTTTTGGGAGGCTTTTAAATGGACGCTGGATGGCCATCTGTTGGTGCTTTGAATGCGATTTTCCTGCTTCTTGGTAGGGAGTTGGACTGGATGGCCCACGAGGTTTCTTCCAACTCTATGACTATGATTTTACCACCACATAATATTGTAATTGTATTGTTGAAGGCTTTCATGGCCAGAATCACTGGGTTGTTGTAGGTTTTTTTGGGCCATGTTGCCATGTTCTAGAGGCATTCTCTCCTGACGTTTCACCTGCATCTGTGGCAAGCATCCTCAGAGGTAGTGAGGTCCTCACTGACAGCATTCTCTCATTCTCAGGAGATAATGCTGTCAGTGACAAATGCCTGTATAACATGGCCATATAGCCCAAAAAACCCTACAACAACCCAATATTGTAATTAGAATACCAAAAAAACAAAAATGGAGACTATAAACAAACCCAACAGGAATGAAAACAACAGCATATGCAGACAAAACCACTTGATTCAAAATGTCATTGTAATCACAGCTCTGACCAGAGTGCATGTACATTAGAAGCTTCAAAAAGTAAATCAGCATAGGATCTTGGCTTTGCAGATATATTGATACAATATATACATTTTTGTGGTTATACTTAACTGCAGGGACATGCCTATAAAACCATAATAAATTCCACCAAAGTTTGATAGACAATCATTGTGATATCCACACACACACAAACACACAATTTTGATGGTGCTGCATAGTGCTATCTGCACCCCCTAGTAACTCCACTGAACAACATTTAGATGCGCCTTTCTATCACTTTCACATAAATATGTGTAACATTTGCCCGTTAATGGTGTCACTCCTGTGATACATTCAGTCTGGCATTTCAGTGATGTATGCAACCATGCCTTTATTCTGATTTCAGTTTGTCTGGCTGTTTTTTGCCTATAGGGTTTGCAGTGGTTCCCTTTAGGGCTGTGGTTCTCAACCTGTGGGTCCCCAGATGTTTTGGCCTTCAACTCCTAGAAATCCTAACAGCTGGTAAACTGGCTGGGATTTCTGGGAGTTGTAGGCCAAAACACCTAAGGACCCACAGGTTAAGAACCCCTGCTTTAGGGCAATACTGTATCCCCTTTATCTAATTTCTTACTCCCTCATGACTTTCTGGGACTCTTGTAAATTCTGTCTCGGAAAGCATATGGTGGATGATCTTGCTATTTGTATGTTGATATTGATCTACTACTAAGATCCTAGTGTTGCAATCCTAAACAGCTTGACAAGGAAGAACGCCTAATTGAAAGCACAGTGGGATCTCCTTCAGAGTGCACATTATCTGTGTGTTTCATCTTGTGAAATGTATTGTTGCCATATGGGTTTTACTTTTTTTATTTTTCAGCCACTCTGAGCATGCAGGCAATGAAGCTAAAATCATTTTTAAAATAAATAAACATTACTTTTTTGGTGCTGAATGTCACCACATGCAAAGGTTTTACATTAGCTTGGAGATGAGGTTCATGGTGTCTGTTCTGGCTCTCGAATGACATATGTAGGGTTGCTGCATATTGCTGAACAGTGTGGGATGAGGTGGAAAACACTATTGAGTTGGGAGTAGCTATCAGTCCTATAGAGATGAACTAAAAGATGGCAAGATAATCCCTTCTGTTCTATTTCACACTGCCCCCATTTTGGTAAGATCTCTTTTCATGAGCTTTCTTCCACTCAAGAACTTGAGATATGAGCCCAAATAATAGCAGCAATAAGAAAAAGAATATATTGGGTTGCTGTGAGTTTTCCGGGCCGTAGGGCCATGTTCCAGAAGCATTCTCTCCTGACGTTTTGCCTGCATCTATAGATATAAATATTTATATAAATTTAGGTATATAAATATAGGGTATAAATATAGGAAATAAATAAATCTATGGTAGGCATCCTCAGAGACCTCACCACCTCTGAGGATGCCTGCCATAGATGCAGGCAAAACATTAGGAGAAAATGTTTCTGGAACATGGCCATGCCAGCCTGGAAAACTCACAGCAACCCAATGATTCCAGCCATGAAAGCTTTCAGCAACACAAATCATTACTATTTAAGGAGTATGGACTATTGCCTGGATGGATATGGATGGGAGGATTTTCAGCCACAAAGATTCCTATCAAAAATATGTTGATATCACTTTTAAACACTTACTTTAGGTGAACAGCTGCTGAGCGGTGGATGAAACTCTTCTTCTTCTACATATTTTCTTTTAAAGTATGTGATCTTAGTTGATGCAAGAGGATTTGAAATTCCTCTGTGGTGTGAGCCTGTGGAAAACAAATTACACACAAATAAATTGCATATTTCTGTGCTAACAAAGACTTCTCTCACTGGTTTGTACTTTGGGGAAGTCGGTAGCTAGATTACTGAGGACTGCTAACCCTTAAAAATATTGCTTTGTTATAAATTGTATAACTGAAAAGGTTGATTCGTTCATAAGAAATCATTAAAAATTAAATAAATAAAAATTAACTATTGCAGTAAAGGGAAGATGCACAAGGAAATAAGAAGTAAAGTTTTTGTTTTGTGTCCATGTCCTCGTTCAGAAGATTTCACCTCTGTTACTGTGACAATTGGATTTTGACATCTTTGGCTTGTTGTGGAAACAAGGATTGGTGCTAAAACTTCAGCGGAGACAACTTTTCCGCAGGATAACTTTTTCAGGAGTGATTTTACCTCCCATGGGATAGATTTCCTTCATTTCCTGTTGTCTCGCCCCATTCTTAACTAGGAGTCATTTGTAAGTCAGATGTTTGTAACTCAGAGACTGTATTGGATTAGTCCTCTTGGCGACCAAGGCTCGAACCCTTACTCAATCATAAAACCCCACTGGATGACCTTGGGCAAGTTCTACTCTCTTAGAATTATAGGAAGGCAATGACAAACTCAGAATCAATCTTGCCAGGAAAACCCTAGAACAGGGTTACTATTTTTCAGGGTCAACTTGAAGGCTGTTAACAACAACAAGACTTTGAGATCATGGTGGGCAGAGTAAGGCTCACATTCAGCAAGGTCAAACCTGTGATACCTAGTTTAATATAATAATTCACATGGAAGTAATTAAGTCTGCAGTGAAAGGTTTGTGGTGCAAAATGGAATGGGAAATGTCTGTTTATTTAAACATGGTCATGACTTCATTCTAAGCAGTTCTCTGAATCTTTGACTTCCATTCCACATGCCCAACCCATTTGAAAAATGGCTGCATTCATCAATGAACATGGTGCTAATTTAAAGATTCTGAATTTATCCATATTTTGAAAACAGGGATGGATGATGCAGCATGTATGCAGCCCATGGGACTGCCCTCTCCTGACCTTGAGATCCTCCAAAACTCTCTCAGGTTTTAAAACATGATTTTAAAAAAACATACATTTTTTGTCAAATACTCCTTGTAGCGGTCCTCCTTTTGCTTCTAGACACTATTTTGCCACTACGTTTCAAAACAGCCAAAAACCACCCCACAACAACTGGGGGTTCTAGTGACTGGAATATTCTACCCCAAAGAAATTTGCACAGGTGCCCACACAAACATGCATGCCTACCTCTGTCTTAAAAAATAGATATATATTTTTTCAACATTAGTCACATGATCTGAAAGTTTGGTTTAACAAAAAGTATGCTTTGTACCATTATAGCAGATACTTGCATATATAGTGTGTGTATTTGTGTGTGTGTGTGTGTGGGGGGGGGGGTTACATTAGGCTTTTGCATGGATTCAATTTGGTCTGTTTCCTTCAGCCAATCCGGTTTTTTTGGCTTGTTTGGATGACCGTAACAGGGCCACATGGTACCCGATCACAGCTCCTCCTCCCCTATTCGGCACCACACAACACATGGAGAGGCTGTAGTGTGCTGCTTGCACAGGGTTTCACTGTGAGCCCTGTCTATTGGGTCAATCAGAATAGAAGAATGCTGTGATATGTCAGGAGTGGTACTTCCTTAACCCTGTTCTTCAAACCCAGACTCCCCTGAAGGGAAAACAGGAAAGGATCCCAGGAACAGAAAGAGGAGCCTCATAAGTTCCTCATTCCTGCCAAGGGGCCAAATCTTCCCGGATCTTTCAACTGCCTAGCTGAAAACAGATTTTTCCATTAGCTGATTTTCGGGAAGCTCCTGAAAACAGATCTAGGTATCCAAATTTGGATACCAAAAACAGATCACCCTCCAGCCAAACTGCACAAGCCTAGGTAACATTACTACCAGAGTCATTTTGGCATTGCATGGGCCACAGCACAAAACGGGGATGGGAAGACTTCTTAACCCTCCTTTTCACTGTTTCTTTCCGTTGATTGCAATGGGTGGGTGGGTAGCAAACTATGTCAACTCTAATCTTGCACAGTTATTTCTCCAATCTACTGCACCAATCTAATGCTATGTTGTGCCCCTTTGCACTTGCTATCCCCAGAGTATCACCAACAAGGCAGCAGTGGCATTATAGCTTTCCCACTCTAGTCAAGTTAGGAATCCTGCCTTAGAAATCCCTTTTTGTGGATACACTTTTGTCTCCACTCAAAAAGATGTTGTGCAATATCTTAGGACTCCTGGGATTTCTCCTTAAGACTACTGGTTCCCAACCTGTGGTCCATAAGAACGAAAATATGGTTGGCAGCCTCACCAGTACTACACCAATGCCTCAAAACCATGCAACAACGAGAACTATTGGGCTCATGAAACCCTCTTATAATGCCGAGGATGTCGGGAGGAGAGAGGCTGACTACCCACGAAAGATTACTACTACCACATCAGCTCTAGATTAATAAATATGGTTTTCTGTGGGTGAGCAGATGATGACTACTCGATGCCTTATGTTCTGTATCAGGAACTAGAGCTGATGTGGTCTTTCCAATGCAATTTTCTGAATCAGCACCCCGAATAACCAAACCAAATCTAAAGTTGACCAAAAACCAATTCGTAACCCTTTGGGTACTAATTTTGGAGAGTGGTCCCTGGTCAAAGTGGTCCCTGGTCAAAAAAGGGTTGGGAACCACTGCCTTAGACTTAGATGGGCAAAAGTGGTGGAGGAGAGTTCCATTTTTCACCTGTGTACCTCTTGACGAGCCACATCAATGAACGAGATGCAACAAAAAGTGTCTTCACGTCACTTCCACTTTCAATTTGGCCCACATCCCCACACATTCCTTTTTTTAAAAAAAAGTTTTGGGTGGATCGGTTTGAGACTTTCTGGAAACCAAAACAATTGGATTTGCATTGGATTTACTTCATTTTGAGCAGATTATTCGGGCAAAAGGTTGCCTTGAAAAATACTTGGGAGTTCCACAGGTTGGGTGAGTTCAGAGCCACATTTTATTTATTATTGATTTATTTACCTTATTTATTTACCATATTTATATCTCGCCTTTCTCAACGCTGAAGGGGACTCAAAGCAGCTTTACACATAGGCAACTATTCAATGCCATAAAACATACAATTAAAATAACATTTAAATTAAAATTAATACATATTAAAATGTAAAAGCATTACATCCACTATTAAAACCATGCCATCCACAATAGTTATCCGGGGCCATTCCAGTAGTCATTGTACATATTCCGTATCCATCTATTGCACAACAATTGCAGAACATTTGCCCCATTACGCTCTGTAGTAGTGCACTTGTGAGAGGCCTCTTCTTGTGAAAGCAGGTGCCACATTTACCAGGAATTAATCCCAAATAACTAAGGCCCTTAACACACAGCTGTATAAAATCGACACTGAACTGGATTATATGGCAGTGTGGGCTCAGATAACCCAATTCAAAGCAGATATTGTGGATTACCTGCCTTGACATTCTGGGTTATATGGCTATGTGAAAGGGCCTTAAGTAGGGCTTATGAGAGGACGTGTGCAATTTTTACTGCTAATGATCACAGTGCTATTAACAACCATCTTATTAGTGAATATACTGAGTGCACTCACATCATAGCACCTGACAGGAAATAAAATGGTCCTTATGGGAGGACCAAATCTTATTTGTAAATTATGTATCAAATATGCATAATTTGCTATAAACCAATTTGAGATGATGTTCTTTCAGCTCAATAGAAAGGAAGTGATCTGGAACAGGTAGCCAAGAATGTAATTACTCCGAACTCTTTGGAGACCACTGGATACTGTAATCTAGACTGGGTCACAGAACTCCAATCAAGCCATATGTTGCCACTGAGAGTAAAATTTTAATTATTGTCTAGCATTTAATATGGCCACCTGTTTGGGGTTTATTGCATTCCATCCCCCAGTGCTAATTTAAACCACCAATAAGTAATATACAAGACAAACTGGGTGGTATAAACTTACTTTGGAGGCAGGATGCTATAGGCCTTAAGCCCCAGAATTTATTTTCAAGGCTCAGCCTCAGAGGATGCAGAGCATGAATATATTTCTTTCATTCCAAGATTTTGTGTTGACAACTTGCCAACAAGGCTCTCAAGGTAGATAAAAGAAAAATATTCAAACATTAAAGCAATCAGAAATATTAACATTTGCTGTTGTATTGGTACTAAATTACGCTACAATTATGTTGATTTGAAGTTTAATCTTAAGTTATATGTTTTTAAATATATATTCAGAATCAGGCCTTGTTGGATCCTTTAGGGATTCCAAAGTAAAGTAAAACAGTGTGTAACTTTATTGGAGTGCTCTGTCTCACTGAAAACCTACAGCAAAGCCACTCACATCTCCAGTGAGTGGCTTTGCTTAGTTTCTGTAATAATAGACATTGTTTTTGGCAATCCTTTATAACCTGAGATAAGGAGGTTCTAGCCCAGGCATGGGCATATTTCTGCTCTCCGGGTGTTTTGCACTTCAACTCCCATCATTCCTAACAGCCTCAGGTCCCTTCCTTTTCCCCTTCAGCCTAGGGGTTAGGACAGGTGTGTGTGTGAAGGGGTTCCAGAGGGGTCACCAAAGACCATCAGAAAACATATATTTCTGATGGTCTTAGGAACCCCTTTAGCAGAGAAGACTGGGGATATCTCCACCTGTCCTTCTCTTCCTTTTTGGAAACAGATGGCAAACCCTACTACCAAAAGCCCTCCTCCACTTAGATTGGCTGGCCTCTTTGCCGGCTTCTCAGCCAAGAGGAGGGCTATTTCTGAGACTGTTGTGTATTTGTTCAGTTGTTTCCAACTCTTCGTGACCTCGTTGGACCAGCCCATACTCCCTGTTGGTTGTGGCCATCCCCAGCTCCTTCAAGGTCAAAGCAGTCACGTCAAGGATAACATTTTGCCCTTGGTCAGCCCCTCTTCCTTTTTCTTTCCATTTTTCACAGCATCATTATTTTCTCTAAGCTTTCCTGTCTTCTCATTAGGTGGCCAAAGTACTTCGTTTTTCCCTGTAATAGCCTTCCCTCCAGTGAGCAGTAGGTGAACTATAAATCCCAGCAACTACAACTCCCAAATGTCAAGGTCTATTTTCCCCAAACTCCACCAATGTTCACATTTGGGCATATTGAGTATTTGTGCCAAGTTTGGTCCAGATCCATCATTGTTTGAGTCCACAGTGCTCTCTGGATGTAGGTGAACTACAACTCCAAACTCAAGGTCAATGCCACCAACCCCTTCCAGTATTTTCTGTTGGTCATGGGAGTTCTGTGTGCCAAGTTTGGTTCAATTCCATCATTGCTGGAGTTCAGAATGCTCTTTGATTGTAGGTGAACTATAAATCCCAGGAACTACAACTCCCAAATGTCGGGGTCTTAGGGGGCTTCAAGAAATTCTCATGGTGGTCCGAGAAGGCCTTACTGGTACATTATTTAAACTGTTATGTTTATTCATATCATGATCTGATCACCATGCTCAATATATCCCATATGCATGGGGGTATTGGGGTAATGATACAAAAGGTTTGCTAGGGTAGACCCTCTTTCACTCAGACTCAGCCCCCCCTCCCCGAATCAAACTCAGCTCCCCTTGAAACAAACCCCCCCCCCCCCCCCCCCCCCCCCCCCCCCCCCCCCACCCCCCACCCCCCCCCCCCCCCCCCCCCCCCACGAATCAAAATCCTGGTTACGGGCCTGGGCGAACCACAAATCCCAGTAACTACAACTCCCAAATGACAAAACCCCCCCCCCCCAACCCACCAGTATTCAAATTTGGGTGTATCGGGTATTTGTGCCAAATTTGGTCCAGTGAATGAAAATACATCCTGCATATCAGATAGTTACATTATGATTCAGAACAGTAGCAAAATTACAGTTATGAGGTAACAACAAAAATAATGTTATGGTTGGGGGTCACCACAACATGAAGAACTGTATTAAGAGGTGGCGGCATTAGAAAGGTTGAGTAACACTATGCTAGAAGAAAGAAGAGCAGGGGATTCATCTGAATCACAGACTGTGAGCAGTTTGAACTGCTGAAGAAGCCAAAGACTTGAGGTCAGTGATGAAGTTTGCTGGAGGAATCCAGTAAGATGGAGGGGGGAAGCTACATACATATGAAGAGGCTGAAAATATAGATGTGGTGACAAATTTGTGAGGACTGTACCACTTCAGACTGCATGGCAGGATGTTAATGTGTGTTAAAAGTGCACATGAAGTCTTTTGTATCCAAATATAAAGAAGGCATTCTAAGGAGAAAGCTGGATGTTGCAATTCTCCCCAGTGTCTAGATTTTTATCTGGAGGGATTCTCCCGCTAGTAAAAAAAAAAGAGGAGCATTTAATCCTATGACCTCCCACGATTGGTATGGTCAGAGTCCAAACATAAGTTACCATCTTATCTCCTGTTTGTGAAGCTGAAAAGACACACTTATCATCTTTATTACTTCATGTGTTGCAGAGCTTATCTGTGCCTTGCAAAACAGGATCTGGAATTAAAGCATTAGTCTGAAAAGGAGACAGGAGAAGCATCCATTTCCACCAGGGTTTGATTTGGGTTAGGACATATCAAGGTTCTATCCCCCCCCCCCCCCCACCAGTGAAAACTTCAATGACACAGTTAGCATTGAAGAAAAGGCCTTCTGGTGCAAAATGCCTTTTAAAACAACCAATTTGTTCCCAAAATGAGCAACCCAACAAGGGCAGAAGATGAAGATGAAAGATGCCAAATCCCACGGTATGCTTCCCCTAACCCTTTCCTTTTCCAGTGCACGATGCAAGAAAGATAAGCACCACCCCAGCACACAGATCTGATTCCTCACTCCAACCTCTTGTCTAGGAATTGTGTCAGAGGTCCCTACAAACATGGATGAGAGAGAGCTTATTTCTCCCTCTGTGGGCTTATTTCTCCCTCTGAGTGATGTACTCTGCTATGAGCCCTGCACTGCCCTACCAAGGATTACAGGATTGCAGGTCAAGATGGCCTAAGTGACCGGGGCCCCTTCAATACAGCTGAAAAAATCCCACCTTATCTGCCTTGAACTGGAATATATGGCAGCATGGATTCTGATAATCCAGTTCAAAGCAGATATTGTGGGATTTTCTGCCTTGATATTCTGGGTTTTATGGCTGTGTGGAAGGGCCCTGTGGCAAAAAGCACCCCTGACAGGGAACAGATCCTTTTGGAACAACAGCAGCATCTCTTCCAATCACAAGGGCTAAATGTACCTTCCTTTTAGAGAAACATAGGCGCTTCTGCATACCAAAGGGAAACCACATGAAGAAAGAGTAGCTCCTGGCTTTACCTATTAATACAGTAGTTCTCAACCTGGGGAAGTTTGGACCAATTCTACCATCGGTGGGGTTCAGAATGTTCTTTGATTGTAGGTGAACTATAAATCCCAGCAACTACAACTCCCAAATGTCAAGGTCTATATTCCACAAACACCAATAGTGTTTAGATTTATTTGGGTATATTGAGCATTTGTGCCAAGTTTGGTCCAGATGCATCATTGTTTGAGCCCACAGTGTCCTCTGTATGTAGGTGAATTACAACTCCAAAACTCAAGGTCAATTCCCACCAAACCCTTCCTTACAATATTTTGTTGGTCATGTGTGCGAAGTTCTGTGTGCGAAGTCTGGTTCAATTCTGTCATTGGTGTCCAGAATGCTCTTTAATTACAGGTGAACTATAAATCCCAGCAACTACAACTCCCAAATGACAAAATCAATTCACCTCCCCCCCCCCCCCCCCCCCCCCCCCCACAACCCCACCAATATTCAAATTTGGGCATATCAGGAATTTGTGCCAAATAGGGTTCAGTGAATGAAAATACATCCTGCATATCAGATATTTACATTATGATTCATAACAGTAGCAAAATTACAGTTATGAAGTAGCAACATGAAGAATTGTATTAAGGGGTTGCAGCATTAAGGTTAAGAACCACTGGACTAGAGAGATGGGCCAAAACTAACAAAATGAAGTTCAACAGGAAAAAATGCATGACATCCCACTTAGGCAGAAAAAATGAAATGCAAAGATACCAAATAAGGGGTGCCCGGCTTGATTTGTTCTCACAGGGAACAAGTTAAACATGAGCCAACAATGTCATGCAGCAGCTTAAAAAGTCAATGGGATTTTGGCCTGCATTAATAGAAGTATAAAGTCTAGATCTAGGGAAGTCATGCTACCGCTCTATTCGACCTCAGTCAGACCACACCTGGAATCACACTGTGTCCAATTCTGGGCACCGCAATTGAAGGGAGATGTTGACAAGCTGGAATGGGCCCACAGGAGGACAACTGAAATGATCAAGGGTCTGGAGAACAAGCCCTATGAGGAGCGGCTGAAAGAGCTAGGCATGTTTAGCCTGAAGAAGAGAAGGCTGAGAGGAGACATGACTAAGGCCATGTATACATATTTCAAGGTGGAGGGAGCAAGCTTGTTTTCTGGAGACCAGGATATGGGACAATGTCTTATAATACAGGAAAGGAGATTCCACCTGAATGTGAGGAAGAATTTCCTAACTGTGAGAGCTGTTCAGCAGTGGAACTTTCTGCCCCCAAGTGTGGTGGAGGCTCCTTTTTTGGAGGTTTTTAAATAGAGGCTGGAAGGCTTGTCAGGGGTGCTTGGAAGGCAATTTTCCTGCTTCTTGGCAGCGGGTTGGACTGGATGACCCACAAGTCTCTTCCAGTTCTATGTTTCTATTATTCTATGGCAGTTGCTCTCTTGGGAGGCACCTCCATTGAAGCATTAAAAGCATTGGAGTAGGCACAGGCAAACTTCAGCCCTCCAGGTGTTTTGGATTTCAACTCCCACAATTCCTAACAGGCCACATTCCAGAGATGCAAGGTCAGAGTCAGAAATGAGCTCAGGGGAGGAAGATGCAAGGGAGAAAGATTCAACTACAAATGGATAAGCTAATGAGCAGCAGTTAGATAAGAGATTGATGTTTCATCAACATAGAGTTTCTCACAATGCAATTCAAAGGTCAAGTTGCTTAGCCAAGAAGTCCTTATCACCCTTTGAAGGGAATCAGCAAGGTTTTCTGTCTACATTAGAGACACCTCAGATTTCCTAAATCCAAACACTTGAAGGGCCCAAGTAATCCCGTTCCAAACATAATGTGGATGATCTGTTTTGATCATCTAAATCAGGGGTCCTCAAACTTTTTAAACAGAGGGCCAGGTCACAGTCCCTCAAACTGTTGGAAGGCCAGATTATAATCTGGAAAAAAATGAATGAATTCCTATGCACACTGCACATATTTTATTTGTTGTGCAAAAAACCATGTAAAACAATACAATAATTAAAATGAAGAACAATTTTAACAAATATAAACTTAATTAGCATTTCAATGGGAAGTGTGGGCCTGCTTTTGGCTGATGAGATAGGATTGTTATTGTTGTGTGCTTTCAAGTCTTAGGTCTTAGACTTAGGTTGACTCTGAGCGAGGGCCAAGTAAATGACCTTGGAGGGCCGTATCTGGCCCCGGGCCTTAGTTTGAGGACCCCTAATCTAAATTATATGGCAGCGTAGAAGGGGTCTTAGAGGCAACTCTTTTCTCTGCTCAGGGGGGAAACTATATATTGTACTTGCCCAGAGCATGAATAGGCTGGCAGGAATTGTGGGAGTTGAAGTCCAAAACACCTGGAGGTTCAATGTTTGCCCATATCTGGGCTAGAGTGTAGTCTGCCCCAGCAGCCCAATTAACTGGTAAGGTTGGTCTGAAGACAAAATTAGCACTGATGATGATGTGACAGCAATGGAGGCGGGGGCCCTAGGAGTCATTGTTGGTGCGTCCTTGGGTCAGAACACCCACTCTGTGGCTTCTCCAGCGTCTTACCTGCTGCTGCTGCTGCTGCTGGGGGTGGCCCGCCCAATGCTCGGCCTTCGTTACTGCCCGGGGGTGGCTGCTGATGAGGCTGCGCCTGGCCCTGGCTGCTGGGGCTGAGGCTGCTGGGGCTTGGGATGCTGCTGCTGCTGCTGCTGCTGCTGCTGGAAGAGGCGGCTGCTGCTGCTGCCGCCGACTCGGAGGCAGGGCTGCTACTGCTGCTGGTGCTGCTCTTGGTGCAATAACGCGGCTCCCAAAGCGGCTGGAACTCTCCGGCTCCCTCGGAGGAGACAATGGGCTCGCAGAAGCTGCTCAGGGGCAGCACCAGAGTCATGGTGGCGGCGGCGCCTCCGATCTGCCGGTGGAGAAGGAGACAAAGATGGGGTCAGCGAGGCGAGGAGAGGCGAGGCGCAACCAACCACTCGCCCTGCCCTGCCCTGCCCTGCTTTGCCAGGCAGCGGCCATGGCAGTCAGGCTGGCACTCGGCGCTCGCCCCTTACTCTCCTCCTTCCTTCCACTCTCCACCCTCCTTCTTTCCCTTCTTTTCTTYCCTTCCCTTCCTTCCTTCCTKCCCTTCCTTCCTTCCTTCCCTCCCTTCCCCTTCATTTCCTTTCTTCCTTCCTTTACCTTCCTTCCCTTTGCTTCCCTTCCTTCCGCCTCCTTCCTTTCCCTCCCTCCTTTCTTCCTTTCCTTCCTTCCTTTCGCCTCCTTCCTTTCCCTCCCTCCTTTCTTCCTTTCCTTCCTTCCGCCTCCTTCCTTTTCCTCCCTCCTTTCTTCCCTTCCTTTCCCTTCCTACCCTTCGCTTCCCTTCCTTCCTTCCCTCCTTTCCCTTCCCTCCTTTCCCTTCCTTCCTTCCTTTCCCTCCCTCTCCCTCTCTCTTCCTTCCTTCCTTCCTTCCCTCCCCTTTCCTTCCTCTTTTCCTCCCTCCCTCCTTCCATTCCTCTCAACCCCGGCTTGCCTTCCTGCCCCGTTGTCCCCTCTCCGCCGCCCCTTGTCTGTGGCTTTCGCCTTGCCCGCATCTCCCCTTCCAATGGCATGATTCTCGCCCCGCTCCAAGACACAAACGAGGGGGAAACAGGTCCAGTAAGTGACCCCTACTACACACAGCCCTAATGATCCCGGTGGTACTTACTTCCAGGTGAAGGTGGTTCAGGTTGGTCGCCTTTTCCCCCCCTGTCAAAGGCGAGCCTTCCCTCCTTGGCTCTCTTGGCTCTGCCTTGCTCCCTTTGCCACTCACGGCTCTCTCTCTCCCTCTCTACACTTAATTCAGGCACTCTCCTCCGCCTCCTTTTCCYCCCCCCCCCCTCCCGAGAAAGAAAGAAAGAAAGGAAGGAAGCTGTAAAATCCAAACAAACCCGCGATGCTCCCAGATTGCAAGAGGGATCACTTGATTCTCTCCACATTCAGCGACCTCAGCAGCAACGACATGGTATGGCTTGTTTGTGCGCCTCTCTCTTCTCTCTGCCTCTCCTTCCCTGGCTTTCTTCTCTCTCTCCCTCCCTCTCTCTCTTTTCTTTCCCTCCCCAAGCGAAACAGAGCGAGACTCTTAGGTCGTTGTTTCCACCAGCCCCGATTGGGCTGAACTGGATCTGCCTCCAGTCAAAACACTGAGATTAAGACAGAAAATTGGCTCCGGTTTCAAGCCGTGAGTTGCAGTCCCACAGGAGCCAAGCACAACATCAGTGGAGCAAGCAGAATATTAAACAGGAGCAGGAACTCCGGGGCCAGAGCCAGGCCTGGGAGTGAGGGGAGCCCCTTCCCTCCCTCTATCCATCCATCCACCCAGAGAGAGGGAAAACTTTCTCAAAGAGGCAAGCAGACCCACTTCAGAAGACACTTTCTTCTACTTACAGTCCTTCACCCTGCTCTTTGGCACACAAACCAGACAGCCTCCTCTGCCTTGCCTTCCACTTTCCAAGAAACAAGAATAAATGTCTTTCCTTTTCAAGATTCCAGATATTTCTGAACCCAAGTGCCAAAAAAACTCACAAGGAAAGGGAGGGAGGGCAAGGGCAAGACGGGAATGGAAAAGCAGCAAGAGAAGGATTCAAAACCTGCCTGGACTAGATTAATGGGACAGGAAGGGTCATGACGAAGAATAATAAATCAAGAAGAAGCCAGACCCAATTTGGTTGCTGTCCAAATGTCTGAAGAATCTCTTTGTTATGTCAGCCAAGAATGGAGGGGTGTGGATGCATTCACCCCTGAGCGCTGGGCTGGGCTGGGGCCAAAAAGCTTGAAGCCAAGAAGCAACTGCTTCCCAAAATGTCCACTTGGAAATAACTAACAGATCTGGCTGTACATTAGCCATGGGCAAACTTGAGCCCTCCAGGCTGATGGGGAAAAGGTAGGGGCCTGAGACTGTTAGGAATGGTGGGAGTTGTAGTCCAAAATACCTGGAGAGCCCAAGTTTGCCCTTGACTACTTACATGTTGTCTATCTTTCAGCATCCTTCACCATAGCAAATGTAATGGATTCAGTTTCTCTGAAAGCATAATATCCCAGATCCTATATAGCAGTGATTCCCAACCTTTTTTTTGACCAGGGACCACCTTGACCAGGGTCCACTTTGATCAGGGCCCACTTTGATCAGGGCCCACCTTGACCAGAGCCTGCCTTGACCTGGGCCCACCTTGACCCGGGCCCAACATGACCCGGGCCCACCGTGACTTGGGCCCACCTTGACCCGGGCCCACCTTGACCTGGGCCCACCTTGACCCGGGCCCACTTTGACCAGGGCCCACCTTGACCAGGGTCGACTTTGACCTGGGACCACCTTGACCAGGGACCACGACCATTGACCATTTTGACCAGGGTCCACAAGCATGTGGACAATTTCAACAGAAAGGAGGAAACCATGAAAATGAACAAAATCTGGCTACCAGCATCTAAAATCAGGACAGTAAATAAAGAGCAACATACAAAAAACAGGGGAGTTCTAGACGACAATCAATTGGGGCCAGCTAACATCTTCCAACAAAGGATCTCCCAGGCAGCAATCAGCTAGGCTCTGAAGCTACATGGCCATTAAATGCAAATCAAGGTAGCCAATTGCAATATTGACACTTGCCTCAAGCAGACAAGAGTTCTTTCTCCCACCCTGGACATTCCACAGATATATAAACCTCACAATCTCTGAGGATGCCTACCATAAATGTGGATGAAATGTCAGGAGAGAATGCTTCTGGAACATGGACATACAGCATGGAAAAGTCACAGCAAACCACCAATAAAGTGCTCCTTAACCCATGAAGTTGTCCAGCAAGCTATGAAATGGTCATGTAGCCACAACTCATTGTTTAACATATTTTGGAAATGTTTCCCACACAGGAATATATTAGATATGTCTTCCTTTAAAAAAAAATTGTTAATTCTGTTTTCTCCTCACAGTCCACTCTCCCTAGGAAGGGATATTAGTTCAGAACAACTTAGTCACGGTTAATTTCTTTTGAAATTGATTAAATTCAGGTTACTTGCCACTACTTGTTCCACCGATTTTAATAGCATTTGGGTGTACTTGAATGGGAGACCGCCAACGAACACCAGGTGCTGTAGGCTATAATTCAGAGGAAGGAACCAGCAAAACCACCTCTGAGTATTCCTTGCCTAAGGAAACCCTATGAAATTCATGGTGTCTCTATAAGTCAACAGGCAACTTGAAGGCAGACACACACAACTACTTTTGGATTGGGACTCGTTTTTTATTTTTGTAAAATGTGTAAATTAAATTATAAAAACAGTCATACAAACCAGTTCTCTGAAGGAATTCTCCAAAAGGAGGTACAGTGAGAGCCACAATATCCCTACACCAGTTATTCCCAACCAAGGACCACTTGATCAGGGACCACTTTGACCAGAGACCACTCTCCAACATTAGTCCCGAAAGAGTTAAGAATCAATTTTGGTCAATTTTAGATTTGGTTTGGTTATTTGGGGTGCTGATTCAGAAAATTGCACTGGATAGACCATATCAGCTCTAGTTTCTGATACAGAACATATGCCATCCAGTAGTTGCCATCTGCTCGCCCACAGACAACCAAATTTAATAATCTAGATCTGATGTGGTAGTAGTAATCTTTCGTGGGTAGTCAGCCTCTCCCCTCCCGATATCCTTGTTGCCTCCACACTATAAGAGGGTTCGCGAAACCAGTTACTCTTGTTGCCACGTGGTTTCGAGGCAACGGTGTAGTAATGGTGAGGCCAGGGACCCATATTTTCATTCTTGCAAACCACTGGTGGTCCCTGGACCACAGGTTGGGAACCAGAGCACTAACAGGTGAAGACATTTTTATTTAGGCAAACTTTTGAATCTTGAATTTTAAATTAGGAAGTTGTAAGATGTTCATATGTAAGAAAAGTGGTGTTTTAAAATGTTTTAATGTTTTTTTATCTTTTATCAATGAGCCCCCGGTAGTGCAATGGGTTAAACCCTTATGCCGGCAGAACGGAAGACCAACAGGTCGCAGGTTCGAATCTAGGGACAGCACGGAAGAGCTCCCTCTATCAGCTTCAGCTCCCTATTGTGGGAACATGAGAGAAGCCTCCCACAAGGATGATAAAACATCAAAACATTCTGGAGTCCTCTGGGCAACGTCCTTGCAGATGGCCAATTCTCTCACACCAGAAGCAACTTGCAGTTTCTCAAGTCACTTCTCACACACACAAAAAATTTAATCAAAAATATATTTTAAATATATTTAATTCCTTTTTAATGTTTTTACAATAATTGTTTTAATTGTTATTTTTTACATTTATATCTATTTTACCCGTTGAGATTAGGCAAACCCCCACTCTAGCAGCCTTTAAGAAAGATCTAAAGACTTGGCTTTTCCGATGTGCCTTTGGAGAGTGACCATATCTTCCATTTCTGTCTGTTTCATCTACAGAGTTGTTCTCATGATGCACTTTCTCCCCGCCCTTAATGAAGCCCTAACCCCACTGTTCATTCCTTTGAGCTCCTCCCTCACAAATACACTTTTCCACTCCTATTTCATCCAGGGTTTTATCATTTTATCTTGTGCATTTGGCCCGCCCATTGTATTTTATTTTCCACTATGTTATTTGGCACTGCTTATTTTATTCTGTTATTTTATTTATTTTATTTTGTTACTTTATTTGCTTTGTATTTTATTTTGTTGTATTGTATTTTTGGGCTTGGCCTCATGTTAGCCGCCCTGAGTCCCCTTTGGGGAGATGGTGACAGGGTGTAAATAAAAATTATCATCATCATCATCATCATCATCATCATCATCATCATCATCTGCCTTGAATCCTATACAGGGAGAAAGATATGATATAAATTAATAAATAATAACTAATAAATAAATAAAATACTGTATTCTTGAGTTTGGCGCTAGCTCCATAAGCGGAAGGAATGTCAAGTCATGCTGCCTCTTACATATTTGTACCACTATGTGATGGGATCATAATAAATTGTGGCAAGTTCTTGGTGGTATGGGCATAACAAATCACGTTGTCTGTCTCCTGAGGAATCTGTATAAGGACCAAGTAGCAACAGTCAGAACTGACCATGGAACAATAGACTGGTTCAAGATTGGGAAAGGCGTACGACAGGGTTGTATACTCTCACCCAACCTATTCAACTTGTATGTGGAGCACATCATGCGATGTGTGGGGCTTGACAAATCCATGGCTAGAGTTAAAATTGCTGGAAGAAATATTAACAGCCTTAGATATGCAGATGACACCACTTTGATGGCTGAAAGTGAGGAGGAGCTGAGGAGCCTTCTAATCAAGGTGAAAGAAGAAAGCACAAAAGCTGGGTTGCAGTTAAACATAAAAAAACCAAGATTATGGCAACAAGAATGATTGACAACTGGGAAATAGAGGAAGAAAACGTGGAGGCAGTGACAGACTTTGTATTTTTAGGTGCAAAGATTACTGCAGACGCAGACTGCAGCCAGGAAATCAGGAGACACTTATGTTTACTTCTTGAGAGGAGAGCAATGACCAACTTCGATAAAATAGTGAAGAGTAGAGACATCACACTGGCAACAAAGATCCGCATAGTCAAAGCAATGGTATTCCCCATAGTCACCTACGGATGTGAGAGCTGGAACATAGGGAAGGCTGAGCGAAGGAAGATAGATGCTTTTGAACTGTGGTGTTGGAGGAAAGTTCTGAGAGTGCCTTGGACCACCAGAAGATCCAACCAGTCCATACTTCAGGAAATAAAGCCCGACTGCTCATTGGAGGGAAGGATAGTAGAGGCAAAGATGAAGTACTTTGGCCACATCATGAGAAGACAGGAAAGCTTAGAGAAGACAATTATGCTGGGGAAAATGGAAGGAAAAAAAGAATACGACCACGAGCAAGATGGATGGGATCCTTGAAGTGACTGGATTGACCTTGAAGGAGCTGGGGGTGGTGATGGCCGACAGGGAGCTCCGGAGTGGACTGGTCCATGAGGTCATGAAGAGTCGGAAATGACTGAACAAATGAACAACAACAACAACATGTGATGGGAAACTGATAGACATATTTCAAGGATGAAAACTAGGTGAACTGAACTTATTTTCTGTAAAGAAGTACGACATAAAAGGCTGGCTTTTGTGGCCTCATCTATGTTCAAAAATCTGTTTACAAAGCTTTGCGAGAATCTTAGCAGTATGGAAGCCAGACCAAATTTATATTGAAGCCAGCTCTTAATCCTTAGGCGACCACAGATTTTCCATGTTGCCAGCCAAATGCATACATTAGGAGAACACCCCGAGGCACGCGAAAGCAGCCTGAAGGTTAAAGTGTCATACTTTCATCGCCTGCACAAAGTTCTCTTCAGTAAGAGATTTCTCTTCAGTGCTACAC